GAATGAAGCTTCATTCTTGATACTTGTCTTTTAATTTTGTCGAATATTACTTATTTGACAGTAATTGTTTCGGACGGAGATCGAGAGTAGACCCCTGTTCCCACATCACGACTATCTGCCGTGACTGTATCGTGGACATGTATTTTATCGATGAACGTCTGTTGTGTCTGGCGTCCCCACTAGACCGTGACGACAATTTATCGGTTCACGACAGCCGCCTTGTCGTTTGCACGACAGAATCGTATGAAGTTGCAATTATCTGTAGTCACAGTTTTATCGTGACGTTTTATTTATTGTCTGACGACGGTCGTTCTAGCTTTCTCATTGTCACAACAGGCTGTCATCGTAACGACAAAAAAATCGTGAACGACAGTTAATCGTATGGTACTGTATGTGAACAACTTCATTTAAATATACAAGTCGCGACACTTAATCTGCACAACGTCTGTCAATGTCTGTCGTCACGACATAATGGAAACGCGTTCTATGTTGATGTGGTTCCCTGGCACATTACTATTTTTATATAGTGGAGATAAGGGCATATGAACGAATTTAAATAAAATTAGTCAGTTTAGGACTATTATGTTGTGTTGTCTCCGTGTAAGGTTTTAATAATTCCAATATTTAACCAGACTATTAATGGCGTAAGTTTGCTCTTTCCCAGACTTACAAGAGTTTATACATACGAACAATAAGTTTCCGGAACTGGCCATAAACAATATTTAAAAAGTAATTACAAAGTTTGAAAATGGAACTCTTTGGGTGTAGAATACAGTTTGTTTCATCTGACATCCACTTGTTTTTACATTGTGGCGTCATTTTAGAAACTGGTTGTCTACAACACCATGAATTTAACTCTATAAATTTTTTTGTAGTATGATTTTCTACGACTTTAAGTGTTAATGTAACAGCTCAGCGGAGCTTCGCTCGGCTTCAAACTGCTTTTGGCAGCATAAATGTTTTCAAACTTGGTTCATTCGTATGAAAAAGTGCATTAATGTTAGCATTAGCGGAGAATATTTTGAGAAACAACAAATTCATTTCTGACCATTTATAGTATTTTTTTCTTATACATTCCGGAAACTTATAGTGCGCCTCATGTATAAATATGTTAGGTGTGTGTGTATATGTATAATAACTTTTTAATATAAAGTATTCAGAATGATGGGAACCTATTAGGAAAAAGGTTGATTTTCAATTGAGACGTAGATTTCTAGTAACCCTGTATTTATAATTCTAATAATATAAAATGACTTTTTATGTCTGGTTTTGTGAATATAATTCTAATATTCTAAATTTGTATTTTATTTTTGCGTATGTTACGCGATAATTCGGCATTTGTGAACCGATTTTGATGATTCTTTTTTGAAGAAAAAAGAGGGTACCTCAGCATTGGTCCCATTTAAATTTGAAGGAAATATTCCATCTGTAATAGTAGCATACCTGGGGATTTTCGCGCACTTTCCGGTAAGCGATTACAATAAAATTTGGTGAATAGATCGATACCAATCGATAATTTTGTTGTTTATTTCTTTATTTTATTTTTTTCACGAAATTTCTTATTTTGCTTTTTTTTGGAATTGTAATTTTTATTTCTTTTTTTTTCAGGAACTGCGAGGATAATATTAGTAAATAATTATGACTGTTTACAAAAATAACAGAAAATGACCAAAAAATAAAAATGGCTACTAATAACTTTGGAGGTCGGTTTTTTTAATAAAAAAGTTACAATTATAATCCTTTCAATACATTAAAACGTTCCCCTGTAAAGTTTGTGAATTTGGGCTTACGATTCTTTATGTAGGGGGGATCGATATGGACCCATGTGCTATCTTCTTTAGTAACCATTACAACCGAACTCCATTTATAGACATTGTTTCTAAAAAGGTATTCTTTTACCCAAATAAAAAAAGGAAAAAGCAAGCTTTCACGCTGTAACTCTTCCGAGGTATTTTTAATTAAGGCTGATAATTTTGACGTTCATTACCGAGCAAGCATGGGCGAAGAGTTTGCTCTTGGGAAATATGTGGGAATTTTCTTGTTTTATTGTACAAATTAATATACCTTTTTGTAACAATGTAACAAATTTAATTTAATAATTTAAAGATATATATTTACCGGGTTATTTTAAAAATACTAATAAACTCCCAGGACTATATTTATAACATCATAAACATCAACTTTTGTTCCATTACTTTTTACAAAACATAATAAATTTATCAAAAATAAATAATAAGTTTTTGTTGTACTATCTGACATTGTTTAGATCTGTATTTGGTATATGTATTTATTTATTGTCACATGGACATAGTCAGGTGTTACATTACAACTAGAGTGTGAGTACATAGCCATGAGTAGGACGTTGCAAGTCAAGGTGTTGAATGCACTGTAAGGAAATATAACGAAACGAAATGAAAAATAAACATTTGGAATAAAAATTGAGAGGCGTAAACAAAAAAATGTCAAAATTTAAAATTGATGTCAAAATAATTTTAGAACTAAAGCAAGAACACGCCATGGAGAAGATCGAAAGAATATATTATATTAATTAATATTGAGAAATCCTCAGAAATTATATATATAAATTAGCAAAGAAAGGATTTGCACTGCTGACTTGTTAACGTAAAGTTGGTAACAATTTATTTGCTTTTATTTGTTTTTGTTACATATTTTTAACATGAAGTTTGTTTAAATTGCAAGCAACCAATCTACTCTGGTTATCAATTTCCCTGTAGTCACTCACATATTACGTATAGTCGTAGGTGAACATCGTAATTTGGAGTTCATACGTAATTTTACAATGTAAGTTAGCAATTTCAATACAAAGTACACAACAACGAGAATATTTATTTTTTGTAAGTATTAGCAGGCAGGCACTTATGTTGTTGTCTAGTTTAGTAGCCAACGGTATCAGTTTGTTTATATCATTTCTCGAGCTAATAGAATACGACACGGGTGTAGAACACCATGGTATGCGGATAATATGTCATTTAACAGACTTAAATCATTTCACCTCACGCATGACACATACTTCCAATGTGCAGATATTATATTTATATGCCTTAGTGAAATGGATTCTAATGATTTGAAATCGTGATGACCTCCACTTCTTTCTTTTTTTTAGTAAAATTGAGTCGAAGCTGACAACCACGACGAAATTTCGAAATATTATTAATTATACTCACGTTCTTTATCCTCGTCGCCATTTGTGGCGTTATGCTACTTAGTATATACTCAATGAAACAACATGTGTTTACTTCACGTACACGTGCGATACGTTCGCTCACACCACTGTCTAGTGTCGTAGTGCGGGAACGGCGGGCCGCAGTGTAACTTATATTGTCCAATGTCTATGCACAATTATGTGCATACACTACAAAGAGAAGTGGAATAATTAATTTTCATACATTCTTGAATGTGTATAGCTCGCTGTGCTAACCATGAAGTATGTTACCTACAAACTTTATAACCGTAATGTATAATTGCTAATGTTGTATATGCATCATGTTGGTTTTCCTATACAATAAATAAATAAACATAAGACGAACACAACTAATAATTTTGAAGGTAAATAAAGTTTATGTTTAAATTTCTTTTTAACAAACAAATATTTACATGCCTCATTTAGTACAATTAAGTGAAAATAAAGTGTCATTTAAAAATTCACCTTAGAAGGCGAGGGGTTTTACTTAATTACCTTCATTTAAATGTTATTTAACATTAACTTTTTTACAGGCGTCGTTTATTACTCAAATCGCACTGAATTTTTTTACTACATTATTATTATGTATTGTAATTTTTATTATAAAAAAAAAATAATAAAAAAAATCATCATCATCATCATTAGTGAAAATGTATCTATTACAGTTGGGTAAAATTTATACTTGGCACTCAGGATTTTGAGATCAATAGCAAAATTTTTAGTGCCTTAAAAGAGGCAAGCGAGGTTCTGTCTTCTTCTAGTGGCTTCAAAATAGTATCTACTCACTGCTTATATATGATGCATTTAAGAATGTTAAGAAGATAACATTTCTAAAGTCGATCGCTAAGTAACTTATCAAGAACTCCAGCAAAAACTTTTAATGCGATCACAACTCGTAACAATATTTCTTTAATTTGGGCTTGAAATGGAAAAAGATAGAAAAAGTTTCTTATTCATGAAAATTGTCCGCGGTTCCTTGGCAAAATTGTAAACAGATAAGAGAGAAATTAAATTCTCTCCGGTTTTAATAAATCCTGGGGCCGGGCGTTAGCCTAATGCGATATTTATCGCCCCTCCAGAAATAAAATGACGTTAGCCAAGTGTTCTGTTAACGTCATTTCTTTAGAGTTCTGGCTACTGACAATTTTTCGGCAGTTGTTTACTACTTTTATCATTAAAATAATGTCCATTTAAGATTTTATTTTATCTTTCTCAATCACCATGATTCAGTTGGGTTGGTTGCGCCCTCTATCTCATAAATCGCGCTTTTCCCGCTCATTACACAAATGTCAGTGCATTCTTCGCATTCAAGAGGGTTTTATGGAAAGGGTAGTCTTTGTACAGAGTGATTCTTAAGTTCTCTACTAAAATTGGTTTCTTCAAGGAGCCCTAAAAAACCGCAGTTAATCATGCGATAAACAAAATCACCCGGAATCGAGTTATATTAAGTATTAATTTTTGTGAACATTATTCTGCTCTTTCGAATGGTGGTTAAATTCGTAGTAGATAGCATTTCCTTATTTTCTTTATGAGGTACTGTTGTCTGACACTGTGCAGTGCTAATCTTGTCCATTTTTTTAGTCAACATTGTTGCATAAAATATAAATTTTTGACATCAATACGAAATTATAATAAGATAATGTTACCTTACAGTGAAAGTAGATTTCATGTCAAAATGTTTTTGCTTTAACTTTTTTAAATATTTAGACAAGCGATTAATGACTTTTCGTGTTCGTAAAAAGAGTAAAATGACGTATGTAATTAAATGAGTAGAAATAATACATTTACCTTGCTTCAGGTGGCTGTGGAGGGAGAAAGGTTACGGAGGCTACGCGAACGCGTAGAGGCGCAGGAGTTAAAGCTACGACGGCTACGTGCGCTACGAGGGCAACTTGAACCGAACAAGCAGGCAAATATCGCGCTTTGTAAGTACCCTTTATTATGTTTTTAAAAATACATATAATTTCAATACAATGGCACGTTTCCTGAATTTAGGACACCCCTCCGCGGCGAACAACTTTCATCCATTTAGTCCGGGTTAATCTAGCCCTAGCCCTAATGTTTAAGCTTTTAATGTATCTTAGTCCATTGTATCATATTAATAGAATAAGTTGTAAGTATATTGCATAAAGTAAATGGGTAAAATTCTTCCTTGCACGGAATTAATACACTTTCTATACTTTACTGTGAAAGCACTATTTTAGTCAATGAACAAAACAAATACAGATATAATCACCATATTCACGGGGTTTTACATTGAATTTGCTTAAGTAAAACTTCGGAGTGAACGTTTAAATTCACAAATCAAATTTTACCCAAATCGGGTTATTCGAATTAGAGGAGATTTCCACTATTCTGAAGCAATATTAATTTAGTTTATGAAAACTAATGACTCGTATAATTTTCCCTACAGTGAAGCTAAACTCGCTGTTAAGACACTCACTTAGCGGTACCGAATACCGTGTATGTGTATTATTAGAACTGGCACCCTAGTGGAAATTTTGCGCAAACTCAATTTTAATTCTGTTAAAGTATCGATAATCGATGATAATGTCGTTTGGGCCGCCCTAACGTTCATGTTACGTCGTATTGTTTTATTATTCTGGAGTTTCAAAAATGCCTCTAAAACATTTTCAACCGGCGCAAGAGTGTGTTTATGAACTATATATTCTATAGAAAGTTACAAACGATGCGTCCCATTTCAGTAACTTCGTGAAACAGATATATAAATCACGTATTCCTGTACAATTATTATATCGAGCAAATAAAGAGGGTTATTACCATATTTATTTTATTGAACATCATGACTTTTTTTATGATATCAAGTAAGTAGCACTACCACTGCGTTCGTCATTCGGAGATATAAGATGATAAGTCCTATGTGCCTGTAATTTCACCAGTATCCTTACCCTTCAAAACCGGAACGCAGTAATGCTTACATTACTGCTTAGCGGCAGAAATAGGTAAAGTGGTAGTACTTTATAAGTATAGTAAAACGAGCTGACACAAAACGTAATTTTTGTTTAGAAGCAACTTCTTCCAGGCTATCGTTGACATTTTCATACGTGAGGCGCACTATAAGTTTCCGGAATGAATAAGTGTATGGTCAGAAATTAATTTATTGTGTCTCAAAATATTCTCCGTTAGCGTTAATGCACTTTTTCATACGAATGAACCAATTTTGAAAACATTTATGTCACTCCTCCGTGACAATCTCTGAAACATATTTTTCATACTCTTTGACAGCCTCTTCAGATGATGAAAATCGTTGACCGCGTAACTGGTTCTTAATTTTTGGAAATAAATATAAGTCACAAGGTGCCAAGTCGGGACTGTACGCGGGATGGCTTATAAGGTTAGCTTTGTTAACCTTCAAAAATTCATTTATCTGTTTGGCCGTGTGAGAACTGGCGTTATCGTGGTGCAAGATGGTACGGCGTTTACGGTTATTTTTACTGAGTTTGTCAATAACTTCCGGCAACTAAATGGTCGTACTAATCACTATTCATGGTACAACGATTCTCCAAAGCAAAAGCAGCCACGTGTCCAGTTTTATTTAAAAAAGAAGCAATCATCCGTTTACAAGGACACCTTGCAAGCGCGCCACTTTGGTTGGTTTCTTGCTCATCTCGAAAGACCTATACACTCGATTGCTGCTTTGTTTTGGGATTGTAACTATAAATCCATGTTTCGTCACCTGTTACTATATCCCACACTAAATTTGACGCTCCTTCACGAACGAAGCTCCACTGAGTTGTTAAATTGCACTTAAATTCGTAGAAAATCATACTACGAAAAATTTCCCGAGTCATATCCATGGTAATGTAGACAACCAATTTCGCAAAAGACGCCACAATTTAAAAACAAGTGACAGTCAGATGAAACAAATTGTATTCTACAGCCACAGAGTTCCATTTTCAAATGTAATTACTTTTTAAATATTGTTTATGTAAGTAGCCAGTTCCGGAAACTTATAGTGCGCCCTATGTACATGTTCGTCGGTTAAGGGTACTGTTCACCTGTCCTTTTTTTAGGATGTCCTCAATTTAGTCGTGGTAAGTTCACCCTGGTCGGCTGTTACCGACTTGCCCGCTCACACTCGCCTTAATTACATTATCGTTCGCTCAAGTCACAACTAATCATACTTTAATGCTTTTTGTTATTTTACAAGCACCTTTCTCTGTATATTAAAAATTGGGTATACTCTTTCACCTCGCCTATCACCAGATGTCGAAATGGTAGAGATATTTACCTAAACTACAAGCAATACACATAGAGTGGATGATACTTCCTTCTAATATTACGGAATGATATCAAATAAAAGACAGAGAGAAAACCTAATACATACATTTTCGTTTACAATTCCAAACCTTGTCTTCTAGAGACACATTCGCAGTAAAATAATTGTTACGCACATTGACTTACAATTATATGGACGTCGGGTCCGCGCTAAAAAGTGTCCGAACTTATAGGGCGTTAAAATCGCATACAGAGCGTCATTCACGCTCTAGTCTTCGTTTGTTCGACTGACAGCGAAGCAAGCAAAATTAGACAGTACTGCGATGACATTACAATTTAAATTCAACGTTTTAGCTTTTTCATATTGCTTGACATGTCACTACGTTTAAATAGGTTGACTTGGGACATTTTTTTCGTGGTTTTTATATTAGACCCGTCGTCCATTTATTTGTAAGTCAATGGTTACGCATCAAAAATAAAGGATTTAGATACGTCCATCGGGGTTGGCTTCTTTAGGACATCCTAAATTTAGTCGTACGTAATAAGGTTGCCGTGCTAAGTCGGCCCTTACCATCTAGCTCACTCACACTCAACTTATAAATCTTGACGAAACAGATTCTTATTCCATTCATCCTCTCTACCTGCCCAACCCACCGTTAAATGTATGCAATATATACGTATACACGATAATAACATTTACCTATAAAACATGTAAAAATTCAGAAAAGGCAATGTTTTTGAAAGTGATATTTATTTAATCAAAATATGCACACATGCCGTCAATAATATTTGCGCTACATCATTCGAAGGTCTTTTATCCTTTTGCGGAAGAATAAAGCGGAACAAAAATCCACAGCCTGCGTTTTCGACTGCGTTACGGAAACTAAATTGTTTTGCCTGAAGATAATTATCTAAATTGCGGAAAAACGGTAGTCGGTAGGAACCGAGGTGAGTATGAAAGGTGACGTAGAGCTTCAATATTTTTATCGTGTGGAAAGTTTATGTCTCGTCGAGTTTTGCTATTCAATCCTAAATTTCTTCACAACATCTTGATTATACCAGTTTTTTTTTATTTATTTATTACATTTAAAGTACTAAAAAACATAACATTCCAGTATAACATAAACTTAACTAAGTTTTTCCGTATACCGCAAGTTCTAACCACCTAAGACCCTGCAAACATCGTTAGTCACCTCGGCTCAGGGCTCATTGAAAACCAGCACCACAGTTAATTATGGCCGTGGCTTATGGTGAATGAAGGCCTTTTGCGTACGCCACAACCGCACAAATGGCAGTACAAAATTTGTGGTCGTTATCTTTTGTTTTTTACTTGTCAGTTTTATTTTATTTTGTTGTTTTTTTGTTTTATTGGCTTATTAATTCTATCAATTGCGTTTTGCTCGTCTGTGGTCTCAATATTTTTTTTTAATTTATGTGTTGTATTTTATTCAACCTCCAATCGGAACAGCGCTAAACGCCCAATGTCCTAAACATAATTTACTATAGACTTATTTTTTATGTTAATTTTGTACGAAAAACGTATTTTTCTAGATAACCCTATGGTCATATAGAACGAATAGCGCTAAATTTGAATGCCATATTTTTATAACGCACACTGGTACTTTACGGGATCATAGAAATAATTATTGTTCGTATCTATACCACTTCACATATTATGTTGATTTTGATGTACACGGGGCCTTGGGATGTTAAAGTAGCTATGGTGGAATATTTCGCGGCTAAACCACGCAATAGTTACCGAAGATGTGGGCAAGTCCCTTTTTAGAACACTGAATAGGCGTGCCGCCAGGGTTCAACCGCTATATGATAATCGTTGGCATTAACATAATTAACATAAAGATTCCATTTTTCATAACAATTAATATTAACACTGTCTAAACCTCTGATCTCTGTGGCGATGCTAAACGCATCGCCAGATATAGTTCGGACCGTCCCATATCTTTCTACGTATGTTTTGTGTATAGCGATCCAGTTATCTTCCGTTCAACCTCTTGGTTCTACCGATAGGGTACTATACAACCTGTACAAGCAAGTCTGCACAGAGACCTCGTCAGTTAGGTCCTGACCCCAGATGAGCTCGTTTACACAGACTTCATACGGTTCTCAAAAGACTAGTGCCGTGGGTGCGGTGCCCTGGGTGCACATAGAGCGCCCTCCCTATTGCCCAGATACTGACAGAACTGTTGGCACCCTCACCTCCTGTTGCGCATTGCACAAGTAACGATTTCCACCGCTATAGTTCAGACAGTTCGCGTATCTTCGACGTGTGTTTTGATTATAGAGCTCAACCCTATCAACCTCTTGGTTATGCGGGTAGGGCACTATAACCTGTGCACACACAGGGACATTCTAAGTTCAGGTCCTGACCTCGGATAGCCCCATAACTTTCTACATTAGTTTTGATTATAGTCACCCTCCCTTCCCACCCTTAGGGTATACGAGAAGGGCACAATCACCTGCTCGAGTATGCTCGCGGGTACACGTTCAGCACCATCCCTATTTTCCAGATAGGTACCGGAGCTGTAGGCACGCTCACTCCCCGTCGCGCTCTAACGGTTGCTACCGCTGAGCCGTCGACTCTGAGCCAACTACCAAATCTCTTCTTTGGTGGCGGAGCTGTAAGACACGCTCACTTCCCGTACCAGTTCCCAAATTCCTACTCGGC